GTTAGAATTTCTTTCGCATTCGATAGTTCCAATTTCTGTGTATGAAGTATTCTTTTGAAATTCAGACGAAGGTAGTTGTTCTTTGGATGAAAAACAGCTTTCTGCATACTGTTTAACTGCAGTTAAAAAAGAAAAGGATAAATTTTACAAGTATTTTAAAAAGATTAGTGGCATTTTTCATTCTTTCAAAAGAAAAAAAGCGGAAAAAAAGGATGCTGTGTACCAATTTGCAAAATGAAGGGAATTCCAGAGCGGGAGATTTTGGGAATTTTGTTAAAATTATTTTGGTCGGATGACAGGGTCATTCACAATATTTTTGAATGAAATTGTGCGCTTAAAGTGACTTTCTACTGCGATAAACTACATGCTGTATGAAGAAGGAATTAATAAATAAGAAAGTTTAGGAATTGGAATTTTCGTTGTTCAGTGAATTCTTATACATTATTTATGAGTCCACTCCTAGTGATAAGCAAAGTAAAGGAAAGTTTTTTTTGTCTGCGGCTCGTTTTTTTTTTTAAGACTTTGACTGTTGGTGCTAAAAAAATAAATTGAAAAAAACTGCTATAGAGCGGTTCTGCTCAGCAGAATTTAGATGAGGAACGATAAGCGGTGTTTTAAAAATTTGAATCTCAGCTGAAGTGTTGCTTGTGGCTTTAGGTTTTTTGTACAAATTGGCTGTACGGTTTCCGTTTTATTAGTTTTAATATTTGTATTCTTTGATTTAGTGAAAGAAAAGAAGAATGAAGAAGTGCGAACATCAGAATGAGCTGCCCTATCTTGATTGCCTTTACTCTCCAAGTCATTGGTCGAAATCCCCTCCAAATCATGTAAGTTTCTTACTTCTTGTTGTTAATTAATTTATATAGTCTGGTATTTGCAGTTATTAGCGAATTGAACATTGATATGCTACCATTGAGTTTCTAAAGCATCATTATTCAAAATTCGATCTTTTGAACGCGCAAATATGCTTTTTTTTAATCATTCAAGAAATGCTGACACTTTTCAATTATCATTATGCTGCTGCGTAGTGAAAGTTTAGAAATTTTTTACGAAGTTTCTGTAAGGAAAAATGTTAATAGCATATTTAAATTCAATGAATTCGAGGTCATTGAGTAAACTTTGACCAGTTTTTTGGTTTACTGTTATGCTGCATTTGTAGGCTTTTTGATTTCAGGTTATTGATGACCATATGACAGCAGTACAGCAGTGCTTTAGACGTATCAAAGAGTGTGTCCCGGTGAAGTTTGATGTGCCTTACGGAGGTTAGCAGGCTGGTTGATTGGATTCTACTTCAACCTACAACTAATTAGTAAATTAGCGGAACTTCATGTTTCAGTTTTTTTCTCTCATTGTAGAGTAGCATAAGTTGGGGTTTCAGTTACCAGTAAGATTTTAAAAAAACAGTGACTTGAATCCTCAGTGGGCTATAAAAATTTTAAGGCTGAATTTTTATTGAACTTTTTGCTTTGTCATCAGTGTTGCTGTTTCGTTTCCGATCCCAACGCTTCATTCATACTCCAGTTTTTAGATACCGAAAGACAAAAGGTGGATATTTGGGGTGATGAAGATAAGTCCCAAAAAGCTGTTGTACTTTTCCACGGTGGATATTGGGTTGTAAGTTTCTCAGGCATCTTTCATTTTAGGAGAGTTTTCGGTGAGCTTTCTTGGTGGAAAGTACGTTGTTATCTCTCTGAATACTTCATTCCAGTACCAATTTTATTCAAGTACCAATTGAGGCGGAAGATCGTAAGGACTTGACAGCACCCGTAAAACCACTGGTCGATAACGGGTATGTAGTAGCGTGCGTTGGTTACGAATATGCTACTGGCGGGCAGTTACTCGCCTGCGTTAAACAGGCAGCTAAAGCATTGCAAGTGATCCTAAAAATTTTGTCGTAAATATTGATCAAGTTTTTTTAACCCTTAAAATTTATGAAAGGCCGGCTAAAAAAACTGGTTAGCATTTTGAAAACGAAAGATCTTTGTGAAAAATCAGCAGTTTTCAGTTTCTTCAAATGCGGTGGTCAGAAAAGAAGCTGGCTGCTGGCGGATTCTGCGCTGGAGCTCATCTGGTTTGCTCAGGTACTTTTCACTACCAAACAATGAAAACTTTTTAGGCCTTATTGTGACATTTGTTCTCAATTGTTACTTTGACCTGTTGATTGTTTTCAGCATTACGTTTCTTACCAGCGGATCATTTATACAGAAAACTGATCTTAATATCTATGATTTGTAAACTACAAGAACTTCCACAAACGTATATCGGTCGGGACATCAGGTGAACAGCGGAGTTTCTATCATATTTTTGTTGTTTAGGGTAAAAAAAGGTTTTATTTGGTAAGCTAAACTGCTAAACATTTTATCTTATGGATCTAGTTGATGGTAAAATTAAATATGGTACCAAGTAGTGCTTCTTCCAGTCTTACAGTAGAAGATGCGGAAGAACTGAGCATAAAAAGCCTTAGAAATTTCAATGGATCAGTATTGATAATCTATGGTTCGATGGATACGCCGAACTTTATTCGGCAGAACAATGAACTAGTTGAAGTCCTTCGTCATTCCGGTCTTAATGTTACTTTAAAGGTAATTAAAGCAGTTTTCTGAGCACGAGAAATTTCTTTTACTTAAGTGAACGATGCCGTCTAATGCGTCGCATAGGTGTTTGCCATATTACATCAGTAGCCCATGTAAGTATGAAATTGATGAATTGGTACTAATGAGACCGAAACGTTGCAAAGAATTTTCAAAAAATTGTAAAGTTGTTTTAACTATCAGTAATATTGCCTTTAAGGTCGTTGATAACGAGGATCACTTTTCACTGAATCACAGCTTTGCAGACAGCAGTTCTGCAGCAATGAAGGCAGTATCGAACTTTTTAGACAGTGAATGATTTCTCAAATCTAACGGTCTGTGTTTTAATGACTGAAAATTAGTGAGCATTTTAAAAGTAAAAAATTTTTAAGGTTTAAACGAAGTTTAGTTGTTCTTCCTTTTGGTTTTTGTCGAAATACTGGTTTTAGTGTTTAATTTTTAATTTCTTGCAACCTGCTTTAAGTCTACATTGCGGACTTTAGGAAAAAAAGTATCCTAGGAGTAGAGTTGCAGGTAGCAAATGGAGCTTTTATATCTAATGATTAATGATAAGGTAGTTTTGGGATGCATATTCTGAGGTTAACCTAGTTTCATTCTCTATCATTTAATAAATATTCATAGTTGTCTACAGCGGATAATCACAAAAAGTTTCTTTTCATCTTTTAGAGAAAATAAATAAAAATGCTTAATGTTCACAATAATTACGAAACGCGTCGGAAGCTCTTCTGCCACAGTTTCTCAGATACGATTCATCAGAAATTTTTAGTTTATAAGCCGGTATGATAAAGTTTGTAAAGTGGCATTAAGGAGTAAAAGGTAAATTAGCAAGAGTGTCGGAAAAATTAAATACTTGGTTATGTAGATGAATATCTGTGCAGCATTTGAACAACGAAAAGTTATTGATATGAAGTCATAAAAAAGTCTTATGAGTTCAGTTGTGGTAAGCTTTTGAGCTTAGTGAACTCTATCAGTTGTCGCTGTAGACTTCCATGTTAAACATTGATATTATTCAACATTTATTTCATCTTTATTTTAGAAGAGAGATATAATTGTTCTAGGGTAATGAAGTTTGTCAAGATAAAGGATTAAGTACTTTCAGAAGATGTTGCTACGACATTTAAGTACTTGAAAATAGTGCAATGTGGGTAATTGTCTAAAGGACGGGAGAATTTCTGAACTGTTTTGCTGGGCTGCAAACCAAAAGTGTATAACATTTGGGATTTAAATTTACAGTGAATAATTTACCAGGCATTTGTTTTGAAAGCAAATGAGTTCTTCAATAAACAAAGCTTTGTAGGATTTAAGTTCAGTTTTGAAGTTCTATTTTTACGGGGACTGTCAGGTTCCTGAAACTTTGGCATTCTTTTTCTTAAACGTCTCTGAACATTCTCGCTTTCTTTAAATTCTCTTCATTCAGAAAACTTTGGTGAAATGCTTATTCATACTCAATAATGGGCAAAATATATACTGTATGGAGAAAAATAAGGAAATTGGTTTTCAGGAGATTAACAGTTTCGGAAATGGAGTTCGCAGCACATGAAATCTTGTAGATTACTGTTGCACGTTGTTGGGAAAAGGAATAAATCATTTAAAATTCCAAGATCTTCAACACTACTTTATTTAAGCAACATTCACCAACTGTATCAATTGAAATTCACGAGTGACGGCGCAATAAAATTCCAGCACCTGACGTTTCGGAAAAGAAATTAATAACTGAAGTTGGTTTACTTAATCATAAACTTTTACTAGATCACCGAAATGTTTTATGAAAAAAAGATGAAATTGACTGCCATCAAAAAAAGAAATAGTAATAAAGACAAAAATTATGACCGGAGTAAAGTATGATTTCCGAAAAACGATGGTCAGAATACCAAACGTTTTGCGCGACGTCTATCAAGGTCTCAAAATTTTATAATTTTCAAATTAGAAGAAAAATGATTTGATTAATCTAAAAACTGATAATCTAAACATAGTTTTGGTGTGTGCAGTTACGAGTCAACGACAAGAATTATAGTTCTTCAAACGTCACTGTATGTGCTTTTTGCTTTGGCCTTTACCGTACTGCTAGGAGCAAGATTTTTAATTCGCAGTCAATGAAAAAATGAACTACTGGGCAACTCATTAAGCATTCCAATTTGACAATCGTTTTGTTTGATGAGGCAAACTGAACAGACAGGGCTGTTTTACAATTGCTTTGGACCTGCCATTTGGTGAAATCATTCTTGTACCAAAGGTAAACCATACAAGGTTAAAAAAATTAATATGAGAGGTACACGTAGTAAAAAGTTACGTTTACCGGCAATATGTACAATAAACTATTCCATATTACTGTTTCATCTGGTTGAGTAACTGAAGTATAAATCTGAGTGCTCCTAATTCTTCTTCCGTTATGGTATTTATTCAAACCATCAAACTCAGCTCAGATTAATGAAGAAGTTTTTAAAAACCGCTCTATTCAGCTTGGTTTGATTTAAGTCATCCAAGCTGCCCGATTACCAAGTGGCTATTTCAACAGATTTGGCAAAAACGGAAAAGGCGATTATGTCAAAACGCTATTTCTTTAAGTATTACGTGACTGTTTTGGTTGCCCGAACGAAAGTGTTTTAAGTAGTACAATTTAACGACGGCAGAAAAATCCCAGTGTTTTGTCTTTGCATAATTGGACAAAACCTCAGGATCGTTACAATGTTTAATTTATTGTCTCGTAAATGGTTTTTTAGATCATAAGTCTGGAGAGAAATTCGACAAATTAGAAAAATTTTTTGCGTTCAGAATCGGTCTTGTCTGTTTATTAAGAAAAAGCGTATACAGTCAAACTATCTACCAAAACGAAGATAATGAACTAAATGTGACAGGTGGCAAAGGATAATAAACAGTGGAAAATGAGGCAAATCTGAATAAGTGTTGAAGTTCCCGTCAGTTATTAAATAAGGTTAGCAGGCTTCAAATTGTTTCAAAAACTAGAGCTTAGTTTCTGATAACCTCCAAAATGAAGTGCTCTGAACAATGACATTAACTCACTAGTTAACAATGAAATTACCTTACTAGTTAAAAACTAGAGTAACAGAGGTTAGAATGCTATCAATAACTGTATATATTCTTTCAGAAGATAAAGTATAAATTTTTTAATTTTGTGCTTAATAGACTACGGAAAAAAAAGCAAAAAAACTTTAAACTAAACAAACTGATTATAAAAAAAGGTTGTACTTGTAAGAAATAAAAGAAGTAAAGATTAAAGATATTTACAGTTTCATCAACTAGTTTTTTCTTTTTTTTTTGCTGGAATTACTAGACTTCTTAATATGAATGTCAGTTAAAAAGTATGCAAAAAGCAAGACTACGAAGAAAGTGGCATAATAAAAGATTTAGAAACTTTGCAGCTTAATTATTCTATCCTAGCATAGTATTTTTTGTTTTCACTGAAAAAATATGGCAAATTCAGATTTCAAAAAATACAAGGTCAACTGTATTGTTTTTTCTTGAAGAAAGGTACATTAGTTACTACAAGAACAAGTTTTATCTGTTCTTTTTTACTTCTCTAGACCTGCTATTCTGCGCTTCAGCAGTATACAAAGTCTGCTCCAGAAGAATGCTTGAAAATTTAATTTACTTATAGTTAGCGGTAAAGCTAATTTTGTAAGCTGGTTTACTACTTTAGTAGACAGTTTACAATGTGAGTAGCTTGTAGACATAAAGCATTGCTGCTACCACAAACTTGCCTCATCTGGTTTCTTGTGAACTAAACAGCGCTGTATATAAGTGTGCTTTTAGATTATCCGTCGAATTTTCTGATTGATTTTGGCTGATAAAGGTCAAACCTTGCAGTTTATATGATAATAAGCAAGTCAAAAATAACGATATACTGACAAGTTGCATCTCAATACAAAAAAATCAGCTTTTTTTGACAGAAAAGAAACTCTTAACTGTTAGCCTTTATTTATTCAGCAGAATTTTGGTCATTACTGAGGACAGATTTGACATCATACCTTAAATATTTTTTTATCTCTATTTTCAAATTTCTGGATGAAAATTCAAGATTATCACGTTTTTTTCTTAAAGATGTGCCTCTGTCTTGACACCTTCATCACTGCTTTTATTCAAGTTTATGTCTATTACAAATCATTTATTATTTACTATAAAACTGACGATACAACAACACAACAGTTCTTATTGAACACCGATAATGATAACTTCTAAACAGGTGTGTAAGTTAAACCGAAATATGCACCAATTTAAATTTCTTTCTATAACAACAGACCTACTTGGTATTATCAGTTCAAATTTTATGTCAACTGTATTATAAAAGTTTCAGTAATAATAATTACCGAATTTTACAGTGTATTCCCAATGCAGCATAACTGTGGTTACAGCGAAGTATTGAGAAGTGGAAGAAGAATTAAATATTATCTGTTTCTGCAAAAACACAAGAAAATTAAATCATTTGTCAACTAAATAGTTTATTTTTGAACCAGTTTATTAGCGATAATTCTAGACAAAAAAGGGCTTAGAAGAAAACAGTCAAAGAGAAGGTTATCTAAAGTAATGTGAAATCAAAAGTCAATGCTATTAAATAATTTTTTTGCTTTCATCAAGCAACTCCGCCAAAGTTTTATCTTTATTTTCCACTAATACAATTGTTTGTTGTCTCGAACAACAAATAAATGCATTCAAACCATACGAACCATAAAAGTCAGAAAAGTAATTGAAGTATAATTTGCGTCATTATAAGCTAAAAAAAAAAAGAAACAGAAAAAAAAATTTTTCAAAAAGTCAATTTATATTTATAGCAAAAAACAGCACTTTTTTTGTTATTATTTCACGAAAAATTTTAGCTTTTAAAAGATTCGAATTGATATTTTCTGACAGACATGCAGTCAGAATATGTTCTACTTTATTCTGTTATCGATTAAACTAATAGTAAAGCTAAATGTCAAGAAATTTCTTCTTTTAACTCATAGGTAATTCAACATAAAGGCAGAATACAAACACTGGGATAAAGCAGATTAAGTATAGGCATAGGTACAGCAACAAAAAGCTGTCAAAAAATGCACAAAAAATAAATCTGTCATCCAGTTTTGCAAAAATCTTTCAGTGCAACTTGGATAAGTTAAATGATAAAAACTGTTACACTGAATCCCTATTTCAGACAGATAAACTGAGTAAAATTTAGGCTTTTCCCAGTTTTTACTCAGCTGAAGAAATTCTTGTATTTCCTGTGATTCACCTTGCCTTTTAAGACCGGCATTAGATTATTGTCTAAATATCTTCACTTGGCTAAAAAACTTATGTTTAGAAGTA